GGTGGCCATGGTGGGGTAGAACTGGGGCAGATGGTAAGGTAAAATTTTATGGCACCTGATTAATGGTACCCCCCCTCTGTACAGGGAATGGTATACCATGTAAGAGGCAACTCTGGGAAAGTTGGGGTGGGGTAGAGTAAAATTTTGGGCACAGTATGGGGGGACATGGGAAGGTGACCATGGTGGGGTAGAACTCTGGTATAGGAGATGGTACGGGACATGGGAAGGTGGCCATGGTGGGGTAGAACTCTGGTATAGGAGATGGTACGGGACATGGGAAGGTAAAATTGGAAAAGGAAGGAAAGTTGGGGTGGGGTAGAGTAAAATTTTGGGCACAGTATGGGGGGGGGTGGCAATAATGGTCACATGGCAGATGTATAGTTTCAGTTTTGGGAATGTACGAGGTATGGAGAGGTGGCATTGGGCACCCAGTGGAGGTTTGTCTCTGGTATTGGAGAGCTTGTGAGGCACAGGAAGGTGCCGGTACTGGGCATTTGATGGGGGTATAGCTCTGACCTTGGGGGTGGTAAGGGGCACAGAAAGTTGGGTGGTGTTGGACATCCGATGGAAGTTTTAGCTCCATTACTTTGAATGGTAGGGTACACAGGAAGGTGGTGGTGTTGGCCATCTGTGGAGGGTGGAGCTCTGATATTGGGGACGGTATTGGGCACAGGAAGGGGGGGGGTCCTGGGTACCTGGCACAGGAAGGTGGTGGTGTTGGTCATCTGTGGAGGGTGGAGCTCTGATATTAGGGACGGTATTGGGCATTGGAAGGTGGGGGTGTCGGGTACCTGGCAGAGGAACCTTTTAGATAGGTGGTGGTGAGGCCGTAGATCCCACATTGAGGACAGCATAGGGCAATGTTGTGTGTTGGGAAACTATCAATGGATTGTATTGTGCTTAGGAATCCAATATTGAGGGCTCTATGGGGTACAGCATGGGGAGGGGGGGGTTGGGGAACCCAATATCAGGGGCACTATGGGGCACACTATGGTGGGGGTTTGGTGGAACCCAATATCGGGAGCACTACGGGACACAGTATGGTGGGGGTTTGAGGAACCCAATATCAGGGGCACAATATGGTGGAGGGTTGGGGAATCCAGTAATGGGGGGGCACTTTGGGGGTTTGGGAACCCAGTATCGGGGGCACAGTATGGTGGGGGGTTGGGGAATCCAGTAGCAGGGGGGCACAATATGGTGGGGGATTGGGGAATCTGGTATTAGGGGCACTATGGGGATTGAGGAACCCAGTATCGGGGGCCCTATGGGGCACAGTATGGTGGGGGGGTTGGGGAATCCAGTATCGGGGGCATTATGGGGAACAATATGGTGGGGGTTGTGAACCCAGCTTCGGGGGGCACTATGGGGGTTGGGAAACCCAGTTTCGGGTGGCACTATGGGGCACAGTATGGTGGGGGGTTAGGGAATCCAGTATCGAGGGCATTATGGGGCACAGTATGGTGGGGATCCCAGTTTCAGGAGGCACTATGGGGCACAATATGGTGGGGGTTGGAGAACCCAGTATCGGGGGCACTATGGGGAACAATATGGTGGGGGTTGGGGAACCCAGTTTCGGGGGGCACTATGGGGGTTGGGGAACCCAGTTTTGGGGGGCACAGTATGGTGGTGGGTTGGGGAACCCAGTTTCGGGGGGGCACTATGGGGGTTGGGGAACCCAGTTTCGGGGGGCACAGTATGGTGGTGGGTTGGGGAACCCAGTATATGGTGGGGGTTGGGGAACCCAGTATCGGGGGGCAGTATGGTGGGGGGTTGAGGAACCCAGTTTCGGGGGGCAGGGGGTTGAGGAACCCAGTTTCGGGGGGCACTATGGGGGTTGAGGAACCCAGTTTCGGGGGGCACTATGGGGGTTGAGGAACCCAGTTTCGGGGGCACTATGGGGGTTTTCGAGGGGGGCACCCCAGTTTCGGGGGGGCACTATGGGGGTTGAGGAACCCAGTTTCGGGGGGTATATCCCCACCATGAATGTTCATTGTTTCTCTTTCTCTCTCAGTACCGGAACGCCAGCAACCCTCTGGCGCACTACGACACGACCGCAGAGGAAATCCTGGCGCAGTGCGATGGTTGGTACTCTGCAGTCTATTCCCGTCTCCATTATGAGGGGTGAAGAGTCTCTGGGATTCCTTTTTCTTTTTCTGTCCTTTTCATATTCCGGGGTACAGAGACAACTCAGGACTGACAGAATAGGGGGGCAGCAGAGGGACCCCCGTCCTCGGTGTTCTGCTGACCACACTGTACTGTAGAAGACTGCAGACAGCTGGACTGTAAACAAAGCAATGGTCACACCACCGTAGGGATCGGAAGAGCCAAGGCCAAGATGTCATCTTCTTGTCCTTCGATGTGTGGAAGGAGCTAGAGTGTAGTTCTCCTTTAAGTGTCTATATCTACAGGGTGTGGACAATATATTGTGACCGCAGATTCTCCTCTACCAAAAATCGACCCACAATCCTCGATTCTAGGCTGAGACTGAAAGCCGTGCCCTCCGATCTCACCAATTCCATCTCATCGGATTATGGTACATTCTCGGTCAGACTGAAGGCTGTGCCAGATGTGCTCTCCTCCTGGGATGGCACCACATGTAGAAGGAGACCGTTCTCAAAGTACGACCAGATACAACATCTATACGTGGTGCCCTCACAGGAGACCGTTCTCAAAGTACGACCAGACACAACATCTATACGTGGTGCCCTCACAGGAGAACCGTTCTCAAAGTACGACCAGACAGAACATCTACACGTGGTGCCCTCACAGGAGACCGTTCTCAAAGTACGACCAGATAGAACATCTACACGCGGTGCCCTCACAGGAGAACGTTCTCAAAGTACGACCAGACACAACATCTACACGTGGTGCCCTCACAGGAGACCGTTCTCAAAGTAAGACCAGACAGAACATCTACACGCGGTGCCCTCACAGGAGACGTTCTCAAAGTACGACCAGATACAACATCTACACGTGGTGCCCTCACAGGAGACCGTTCTCAAAGTAAGACCAGACAGAACATCTACACGCGGTGCCCTCACAGGAGAACGTTCTCAAAGTACGACCAGATACAACATCTACACGTGGTGCCCTCACAGGAGAACGTTCTCAAAGTACGACCAGATACAACATCTGCACGTGGTGCCCTCACAGGAGAACGTTCTCAAAGTACGACCAGATACAACATCTACACGCGGTGCCCTCACAGGAGAACGTTCTCAAAGTACGACCAGACAGAACATCTATCCTGTATTTGCACATGTGATGTTGTACTTTGAGAACGGTCTCCTGTGAGGGCACGCGTGTAGATGTTCTGTCTGGTCGTACTTTGAGAACGGTCTCCTGTGAGGGCACCGCGTGTACATGTTCTGTCTGGTCGTACTTTGAGAACGTCTCCTGTGAGGGCATCGCGTGTAGATGTTCTGTCTGGTCGTACTTTGAGAACGGTCTCCTGTGAGGGCACCGCGTGTAGATGTTCTGTCTGGTCGTACTTTGAGAACGGTCTCCTGTGAGGGCACCGCGTGTAGATGTTGTATCTGGTCGTACTTCGAGAACGCTCTCCTGTGAGGGCACCACGTGTAGATGTTGTATCTGGTCGTACTTTGAGAACGGTCTCCTGTGAGGGCACCGCGTGTAGATGTTGTATCTGGTCGTACTTGAGAACGTTCTCCTGTGAGGGCACCGCTTGTAGATGTTCTGTCTGGTCGTACTTTGAGAACGCTCTCCTGTGAGGGCAACGTGTGTAGATGTTGTATCTGGTCTTACTTTGAGAACGGTCTCCTGTGAGGGCACCGCGTGTAGATGTTCTGTCTGGTCGTACTTTGAGAACGGTCTCCTGTGAGGGCACCGCTTGTAGATGTTCTGTCTGGTCGTACTTTGAGAACGCTCTCCTGTGAGGGCAACGCGTGTAGATGTTGTATCTGGTCGTACTTTGAGAACGGTCTCCTGTGAGGGCACCGCGTGCAGATGTTCTGTCTGGTCGTACTTTGAGAACGGTCTCCTGTGAGGGCACCGCGTGTAGATGTTGTATCTGGTCGTACATTGAGAACGGTCTCCTGTGAGGGCACCGCGTGTAGATGTTCTGTCTGGTCGTACTTTGAGAACGGTCTCCTGTGAGGGCACCGCGTGTAGATGTTCTGTCTGGTCGTACTTTGAGAACAGTCTCCTGTGAGGGCACCGCGTGTAGATGTTCTGTCTGGTCGTACTTTGAGAACGGTCTCCTGTGAGGGCACCACGTGTAGATGTTCTGTGGTTATAGCGTCTCCATCCCTCGGTTGGAGTAGCAGGAAGGGACATCTGCTGGGAGGCCGTCCACCTTCACACGGTGTGGATTGCTGATCCCATAGAAGACCATCAATGATTAACCACAAAGTACACAGCGCCGGCGATCTCCACGCGGTGAGGAGCGGCAGATGTGACCACGTAGCACACGCAGCCTCCTGATATCTATAGATCAGGTGGTGGAGGAGAAGGAGGGGAGCGCCGGCTCACCGTGAAGTCAGTCATAGTTACTGAACTTCCAACGGGAAGAGACGTGCCACAACCAACCGCATGGGACATCCATACAATGAGGCCACATACATGGGGGAGGGGTCGGGGGCTTCCATGGGGGAGGGGTCGGGGGGTTACATGGGGGAGGGGTCTCAGGTAACACCATCCAACCACTACCAGTGCCCCAACATATGACAAGGCAACTTACCGCTTCCTCCTCCACCGTCTGACCAGACACCCCCCGTCACCTTATATACAGATTACTGATCCAGCACCGCTTCCTCCTCTACCGTCTGACCAGACACGCCCCCTCACCTTATATACAGATTACTGACCCAGCACCGCTTCCTCCTCCACCGTCTGACCAGACACGCCCCCCTCACCTTATATACAGATTACTGACCCAGCACCGCTTCCTCCTCCACCGTCTGACCAGACACGCCCCCCTCACCTTATATATACAGATTACTGATCCCAGCACCGCTTCCTCCTCCCCAGGGCAGCTGGACATGGTGGTGGTGACAGCCGGGACTGGAGGAACAATCACAGGACTGGCGCGGAAGCTGAAAGAGAAATGTCCAAAGTGTAAGGTAAGCAGATACAGAGCTGTGGTGTCACTCGGGGTGTCACTGCTGCTAGAGGCTTCCATTCCTGACACTGCAGGAAAACATCTTGTGGGTCAGTGATCAGTCTGAGGAGCGGAGTCCCAGACTCTCTGTTCACACTGATCTCGGTGGGGGGTCCCCGGGCTCTCTGATCTCAAGGGGGGGGGGTCCCCGGGCTCTCTGATCCACACTCAGGTGGGACTCAGGGGGTCCCCGGGCTCTCTGATCACACTCATATACCTATGACTCAATATTCATGATGGGGATGTATGGGGACCAGACCAGTCTCTGTCCCTGGATGATGTACCGCGCTCCTCCCTCACTCCTCCATGTGATGGGGATGTATCGGGGACCAGTCTCTGTCCCTGGATGATGATGTACCGCGCTCCTCCCTCACTTCTCCATGTGATGGGGATGTATCGGGGACCAGTCTCTGTCCCTGGATGATGATGATACCGCGCTCCTCCCTCCACTTCTCCCTCATGTGATGGGGATGTATCGGGGACCAGTCTCTGTCCCTGGTACCGCGCTGATGTACCGCGCTCCTCCCTCACTCCTCCTCCATGTGATGGGATGTATCGGGGACCAGTCTCTGTCCCTGGATGATGCACCGCGCTCCTCCCTCTGGTCTCCATGTGATGGGGGATGTATCGGGGACCAGTCACTGTCCCTGGATGATGATGTACCGCGCTCCTCCCTCACTCCTCCATGTGATGGGGGACCAGTATCGGGATGATGTACCAGTCCTCCCTCACTGTCCCTGGATGATGTACCGCGCTCCTCCCTCACTCCTCCATGTGATGGGGATGTATCGGGGACCAGTCTCTGTCCCTGGATGATGTACCGCGCTCCTCCCTCACTCCTCCATGTGATGGGGGATGTATCGGGGACCAGTCTCTGTCCCTGGATGATGTACCGCGCTCCTCCCTCACTCCTCCATGTGATGGGGGATGTATCGGGGACCAGTCACTGTCCCTGGATGATGTACCGCGCTCCTCCCTCCTCCATGTGATGGGGATGTATCGGGGACCAGTCTCTGTCCCTGGATGATGATGTACCGCGCTCCTCCCTCACTCCTCCATGTGATGGGGGATGTATCGGGGACCAGTCACTGTCCCTGGATGATGTACCGCGCTCCTCCCTCACTCCATGTGATGGGGGATGTATCGGGGACCAGTCCTGTCCCTGGATGATCCTCCCCTCACTCCTCCATGTGATGGGGATGTATCGGGGACCAGTCTCTGTCCCTGGATGATGTACCGCGCTCCTCCCTCACTCCTCCATGTGATGGGGGATGTATCGGGGACCAGTCACTGTCCCTGGATGATGTACCGCGCTCCTCCCTCACTCCTCCATGTGATGGGGATGTATCGGGGACCAGTCACTGTCCCTGGATGATGTACCGCGCTCCTCCCTCACTCCTCCATGTGATGGGGGGATGTATCGGGGACCAGTCTCTGTCCCTGGATGATGTACCGCGCTCCTCCCTCACTCCTCCATGTGATGGGGATGTATCGGGGACCAGTCACTGTCCCTGGATGATGTACCGCGCTCCTCCCTCTGATGTACCGCGCTCCTCCCTCACTCCTCCATGTGATGGGGATGTATCGGGGACCAGTCTCTGTCCCTGGATGATGTACCGCGCTCCTCCCTCACTCCTCCATGTGATGGGGATGTATCGGGGACCAGTCACTGTCCCTGGATGATGATGTACCGCGCTCCTCCCTCACTCCTCCATGTGATGGGGGATGTATCGGGGACCAGTCACTGTCCCTGGATGATGTACCGCGCTCCTCCCTCACTCCTCCATGTGATGGGGATGTATCGGGGACCAGTCTCTGTCCCTGGATGATGTACCGCGCTCCTCCCTCACTCCTCCATGTGATGGGGATGTATCGGGGACCAGTCACTGTCCCTGGATGATGTACCGCGCTCCTCCCTCACTCCTCCATGTGATGGGGATGTATCGGGGACCAGTCACTGTCCCTGGATGATGTACCGCGCTCCTCCCTCACTCCTCCATGTGATGGGGATGTATCGGGGACCAGTCTCTGTCCCTGGATGATGTACCGCGCTCCTCCCTCACTCCTCCATGTGATGGGGATGTATCGGGGACCAGTCACTGTCCCTGGATGATGTACCGCGCTCCTCCCTCATGTCTCCATGTGATGGGGATGTATCGGGGACCAGTCTCTGTCCCTGGATGATGCACCGCGCTCCTCCCTCACTCCATGTTTCCTCCTTCCACAGGTGATCGGAGTGGATCCGGAAGGCTCTATATTGGGGCAGCCGGATGAGCTGAATAAGACGGACAAGACGGGATACGAGGTGGAAGGGATCGGATACGACTTTATCCCCACTGTGCTGGACCGATCGGTGAGATCCTCGTGGGCGGGGCATGTTGGTGCGTATTCCCTCCCAATCCCTCCGCCCTTCCTGATTTCTGATTGGCTGTCTCCATCAGGTGGTGGATGAATGGTACAAGTCCCAAGATGAAGAATCCTTCCTGATGGCTCGGGCTCTGATCCGGGAGGAGGGGCTTCTTTGCGGTGAGTACACATTGCTGTATGGTGATTGGCTAGGGCAGAGGACTGTGTGGTGACCTATGGCAGCCAATCAGGAGTCCTCGTGTCCTGCGGGTCGCCCTGCAATAGAGCCAACGCTGTGACTTACCTCTGCAGGGGGCAGTTCTGGCAGCGCCATGAGCGCAGCGGTGAAGGCGGCTCAGCGGTTGGAGGAGGGGCAGAGGTGTGTCGTCATCCTGCCAGATTCCGTGCGCAATTACATGTAAGACTCATACAGGAGCCGAACATACAACATACATGACACTTCACTACCCAACACCCTTCCTACAAATCCTCTTCCCCTTCTTCCTTCTACTGACTACAGAGCCCTATCATGCTGGGATGTATGTAATAAATACATGTGTGATACTGTAACATACGTGTGATGGCGGGCCCCATGACGTTCCTTGTTTTAGGAGGACAGAATTTGGAGACATACAGTATGTGACACATGGGATACGGCCTATTAGATACATGTTTTATACTGTAACATACGTGTGATGGCGGGCCCCATGATGTTCCTTGTTTTAGGAGGACAGAATTTGGAGACATACAGTATGTGACACATGGGATACGGCCTATTAGATACATGTTTTATACTGTAACATACGTGTGATGGCGGGCCCCATGATGTTCCTTGTTTTGGGAGGACAGGACTTGGAGACATATGGGATACGGCCTGTCAGACACGTTTTATACTTTAACATACATGTGATGGCGGGCCCCATGGCAATCCTTGTTTCGGGAGGACAGAATTTGGAGACATGTGACACATGGGATACGGCCTATTAGATACATGTTTTATACTGTAACATACGTGTGACGGCGGGCCTCATGATCCTTGTTTTAGGAGGACAGAACTTGGAGACACGTGACACATGGGATTTGGCCTGTTTCCAAGTTCTGTCCTCCCAAAACAAACGTCATGGGGCCCGCCCTCACATGTATGTTACAGTATAAAATGTGTCTGATAGGCCGTATCACATGTATCAGGCACATATTTTATACTGTTGCATACATGTGACGGCGGGCCCCATGACGTTCCTTGTTTTGGGAGGACAGAATTTGGAGACATATGTGACACATGGCATACGGCATGTCAGATACATGTTTTATACTGTAACACACGTGTGATGGCGGGCCCCCCATGACATTCCTTGTTTTAGGAAGACAGAACTTGGAGACACATGTGACACATGGGATATGGCCTATCAGACACATGTTTTATACTGTTACATACATGTGAGGGCAGGCCTCATGACGTTCCTTGTTTTGGGAGGACAGAACTTGGAGACACATGGGATACGGCCTGTCAGACACACGTTTTATACTGTCACCTGATGTTTGATACCGTGCTCCATGACATGTTCTCTCCCGGGACAGGACGAAGTTCCTGAGTGATAAATGGATGACCCAGAAGCAGTTCCTGAAGGTGGAGGACCTGGAGGGGAGTAAGCCATGGTGAGTGGTCAGGAGATGGCTTCAGATGGTCATGTCGGAGGTTTTCCCCTTCCTCCTCTCTGGGGTTTTCGGGTTTCCCCCTTCCTCTCCTGGCGGGTTTCCCCCTTCCTCTCCTGGCGGGTTTCCCCCTTCCTCCTCCTGGCGGGTTTCCCCCTTCCTCTCCTGATGATGTCCCCCTTCCTCCTCCTGGCGGGTTTCCCCCTTCCTCCTCCTGGCGGGTTTCCCCCTTCCCCCTTCCTCCTGGCGGGTTTCCCCTTCTTCCTCCTCCTGGCTCCTGGCGGGTTTCCCCCTTCCCCCCCCTCCTGGCGGGTTTCCCCCTTCCCCCTCCTGGCGGGTTTCCCCCTTCCCCCTCCTGGCGGGTTTCCCCCTTCCTCCTCCTCCCCCCTGGCGGGTTTTCCCCTTCCTCCTCCTGATTTCCCCCTCCTCTCCTGATTGTCTCCCTTCTTGATCTTCTGCAGGTGGTGGAACGTCAAGGTCTCGTCTTTGTCCCTTTCTGCCCCATTGACCGTCCTTCCAACAGTCAGCTGCAGTCAGACCATCCAGCTCCTCCGAGAGAAAGGCTTTGACCAAGTTCCCATCGTGTCCGAGTCCGGGTGAGGCTCCCATCGCTGTCTTCGGGGTGGGGGGGGGAAATGTCTGGGATCTCTGCTCCCAATCATCTCACTCTGTGCTTTTGTGATCTCTGTTGGGTCCAATCCAACACCTATAATTGGAGGTCAGACCAGTGCGGCCGGAAATGTATTGTTGGAGCCTCAAGCTCAAGGGTGTCAAACTGGCGCCCCTCCAGCTGTTGCCCTCCAGCCCATCTGCCTCTTTTTGGGAGTCATGCTGGTAACCGTCAATCTTGCAATGCCTCATGGGACTTGTAGTTTGGCACCAGCTGGAGGGCCACCAGTTTGACCCCCGTGCATCTAGCTGATGGCTTAGTCTGCATATTCCGCTCATTGCTCGTCTCCATTATACGTTTTTTATGGATTGGAGTCCCACGCCTGATCTGCACCATATACCACAGCCATGTTTTCCTTTTACTCGCCTCCCTCTGTTGTTGTACCTGACTGCTAGCTGAATGTCCGCAGGCTGGTCCTCGGGATGGTGACGCTGGGAAACATGTTGTCCTCAGTACTGGCTGGGAAGGTGAAACCGTCCGATCCGGTCACCAAAGTCATCTACAAGCAGTTCACGCAGGTAAGACGGAGGAGGACGAAGCTGGAGAAGTTCAAACTCCTATTATCTCTGCTTTGAATGTATGATGTGCAGGGGTTGGACGAAGATATGGAAACCTTCCATGATGTGCAGTGATGGAACATTCTTTGGCTTCCGCTGTGTGATGAGACACCTAGCTAACAGGCGGGAAGCCTCTGTGAGCGAGTGGTGCAACACCCATAAATGGTGGACTATTGATCAATGGAAGACGAATCGAGCTTCACAATGTTCCCAATTTTCGCCATCTTATGAGCCGACCCCAAAGAGCCTTCATCTTGTCGTCATGTGACTCGGCCCCTGCAGAGCCCTCAACTCCCCATCATATGGCCCAGCCCCCACAGAGCCTTCATCTTGTCATGTGACCTGGCCCCCCTGCAGAACCCTCAACTCGCCATATGGCCCAGCCCCCACAGAGCCTTCATCTTGTCGTCATGTGACCCGGCCCCTGCAGAGCCCTCCACTCCCCATCATATGACCCGGCCTCCAAAGTGCCTTCATCTTGTCATCATGACCAGGGGCGGACTGACCATTTGGAAACTCGGGCACTGCCCAAGGGCCCCATGAGATGCCCCTGGTACCTTTTTCATAGGCTTTTTTGATCCTCTTGGGGGGCTTCTCTCACACATAGCAATGTATTATGGTGTTGGGTCAGTCTGAGCCTGGCGGAGCAGGAGGAGGATGATGAGCAAGAGGATGAGGATGATGATTTCTCTTTCAGGTCCATCTTGATGACAATCTGGGGACACTTTCCCGAATCCTGGAAACGGATCACTTTGCACTGGTTGTCCACGAGCAAATCCAGTGTAAGTATTTGTCTTCTGTCTGATCTACACAGCCTCCCTCCTAGAGCTCCCAGCCCCTGGTCTCTGGCCTCCCGTCCCCTGGTCTCTGGCCTCCCGTCCCCTGGTCTCTGGCCTCCCGTCCCCCCCTGGTCTCTGGCCTCCCGTCCCCTGGTCTCTGGCCTCCCGTCCCCTGGTCTCTGGCCTCCCGTCCCCTGGTCTCTGGCCTCCCCGTCCCCTGGTCTCTGGCCTCCCGTCCCCTGGTCTCTGGCCTCCCGTCCCCTGGTCTCTGGCCTCCCCTCCCCTGGTCTCTGGCCTCCCGTCCCTGGTCTCTGGCCTCCCCCCCTGGTCTCTGGCCTCCCCTCCCCTGGTCTCTGGCCTCCCCTCCCTCCCCTGGTCTCTGGCCTCCCCTCCCCCCCCTGGTCTCTGGCCTCCCCTCCTCTCCCCTGTCTCTGGCCTCCCCTCCTCTCCCCTGTCTCTGGCCTCCCCTCCTCTCCCCTGGTCTCTGGCCTCCCCTCCTCTCCCCTGGTCTCTGGCCTCCCCTCCTCTCCCCTGTCTCTGGCCTCCCCTCTTCTCCCCTGTCTCTGGCCTCCCCTCTTCTCCCCTGTCTCTGGCCTCCCCTCTTCTCCCCTGTCTCTGGCCTCCCCTCTTCTCCCCTGTCTCTGGCCTCCCCTCTTCTCCCCTGTCTCTGGCCTCCCCTCTTCTCCCCTGTCTCTGGCCTCCTCTCTTCTCCCCTGTCTCTGGCCTCCTCTCTTCTCCCCTGTCTCTGGCCTCCTCTCCTCTCCCTGGCCTCCTCTCCGCTGACTTTGGCCTCTCTCTACCCCTCCTATGGCCTCCTGCTGGTGCAGATGACATTTAATCCCCTCTGTACTGTCAGGAAAAGGGGTGGAGCTTTGCAGCACACCTGTCCCAGCACAGTCCTGAACTGGATGCAGTTGTACATCTTCCCTGCAGCAGCCAGGCCTGTCCTCCTTCATATTGAAGGTCTGCTGGTTGTCTGGGGACCCCAAACATAGGAAATCCACCTGGGGGGGCTGTGCTGCCATCTGATCGACTCCTACCGTCTTACAGTCCCCTGGGGGCCCCTCCGTGGGGGTGGGGAGTGGGAGGATTTGGGGGGACTGCAGTTCCCTTCACTCATCTACACTGACCCCCAAAACCCTCAACTTCTTCTTCTGAGTCAGATTCCTCTTCCAGTGCCAGGGGCACCTGCAGACCAATCTGCATGGAGTGTGGACAGCCGTGGTCATGCCATTGGTGACACACAACACACACCTGACCTCCTCAGCCGGGTATGAACGTTCCGTGTCTCGCACCGCAGGAGGAACCGTCCATCGGCAGCAACTCTCAACTGACCAACTCTGAGGGTTTAGAACGCAGCGACTCCACACAATATTGTATCGTCTGCTGGTGCCCCGTGTCTGGGTCCTCCCCTTGTCAGCATTTCTACATGTGCACCCCGTGTCCGCATTTCTACATCTCGGCACCGTGTCTGGGTCCACCCTGTGTCAGCATTACTACATGTCCTCCCCGTGTCTGGTTCCTCCCCGTGTCTGGTTCCTCCCCGTGTCTGGTTCCTCCCCGTGTCTGGTTCCTCCCCGTGTCTGGTTCCACCCCATGTCTGGTTCCACCCCGTGTCAGCATTTCTACATCTCTGCACCGTGTCTGGGTCCTCCCCCGTGTCTGGGTCCTCCCCCGTGTCTGGGTCCTCCCCCGTGTCTGGGTCCTCCCCCGTGTCTGGGTCCTCCCCCGTGTCTGGGTCCACCCCGTGTCAGCATTTCTACATCTCTGCACCGTGTCTGGGTCCTCCCCCCGTGTCTGGGTCCTCCCCCGTGTCTGGGTCCTCCCCCGTGTCTGGGTCCTCCCCCGTGTCTGGGTCCTCCCCCGTGTCAGCATTTCTACATCTCTGCACCGTGTCTGGGTCCTCCCCCGTGTCTGGGTCCTCCCCCGTGTCTGGGTCCTCCCCCCCGTGTCTGGTTCCACCCCGTGTCAGCATTTCTACATCTCTGCACCATGTCTGGGTCCTCCCCCGTGTCTGGGTCCTCCCCATGTCTGGTTCCACCCCGTGTCTGGGTCCTCCCCTTGTCAGCGTCTTTACATCTCTGCACCATGTCTGGGTCCTCCCCGTGTCTGGGTCCTTTCTGTGTTGGCATCTCTACCACATCTCTGCCCCGTGTCTGGGTCCGCCCCGTGTCGGCATCTCTGCCCCGTGTCTTGGTCCTCCCTGTGTCTGGGTCCTCGCCATATCGGCATCTCTGCCCCGTGTCTGGGTCCGCCCCGTGTCGGCATCTCTACCACATCTCTGCCCCGTGTCTGGGTCCGCCCCGTGTCTGGGTCCTCTCCATGTCGGCATCTCTGCCCCGTGTCTGGGTCTGCCCGTGTCTGGGTCCTCTCCATGTCGGCATCTCTGCCCCGTGTCTGGGTCCGCCCCGTGTCTGGGTCCTCTCCATGTCCGCATCTCTGCCCCGTGTCTTGGTCCTCCCCCGTGTCTGGGTCCTCTCCATATCGGCATCTCTGCCCCGTGTCTTGGTCCTCCCCGTGTCTGGGTCCTCTCCATATCAGCATCTCTGCCCCGTGTCTTGGTCCTCCCCGTGTCTGGGTCCTCTCCATGTCGGCATCTCTGCTCCGTGTCTGGGTCCGCCCCGTGTCTGGGTCCTCTCCATGTCCGCATCTCTGCCCCGTGTCTTGGTCCTCCCCGTGTCTGGGTCCTCTCCATATCGGCATCTCTGCCCGTGTCTTGGTCCTCCCCGTGTCTGGGTCTGCCCGTGTCTGGGTCCTCTCCATGTCGGCATCTCTGCCCCGTGTCTGGGTCCGCCCCGTGTCTGGGTCCTCTCCATGTCCGCATCTCTGCCCCGTGTCTTGGTCCTCTCCATATCGGCATCTCTGCCCCGTGTCTTGGTCCTCCCCGTGTCTGGGTCCTCTCCATATCAGCATCTCTGCCCCGTGTCTTGGTCCTCCCCGTGTCTGGGTCCTCTCCATGTCGGCATCTCTGCTCCGTGTCTGGGTCCGCCCCGTGTCTGGGTCCTCTCCATGTCCGCATCTCTGCCCCGTGTCTTGGTCCTCCCCGTGTCTGGGTCCTCTCCATATCGGCATCTCTGCCCCGTGTCTTGGTCCTCCCCGTGTCGTCTGAGTCCTCTCCACCACATCTCTGCACCATGTCTGTGGAACACATTGTGGGGTGTTTAGAAAACAAAAGAGCTTACAATCTATTAGGAGGGAGGGAGGGACAGATACCAGTCTGCCCGGGGCCCGGTTTGGTCCTCATCTGGCTCTGTTGAGGTTCCATCATACATGAGGGCACCTCAGATGTTCTGGTGCTCTGAGACCGCTGCAGAAACTCTGGTGACTCCTCTGTGATTCTTCTACATCTGTCTCCCAGCAGATCACAATGACGGCTCGTCCAGCAAGAAGCAGATGGTGTTTGGGGTGGTGACTGCCATCGATCTACTGAATTTTTTGACGAGAGAGCGAGAGCGCCGTGGGAGCGAATCCAGCGACAGGGACCCCAGTGAAAGAGTCCGACATTTCAGTGCCTCCTAAGTCCCAGAGGTCGGCCCCGGTTCCGTGTGCTGTGGGGGGAGGGGAATTCCTATAGGTCAGCGTAATGCTGTTATAGGAAGAGACTGGGAATTCTGTAGCAATGTCATGTAATCAATAAAGCGTTTTATTTATCCTCTTCCCCGTGTCTTCCTTTTGGTGGTGACTCGACCCGTGTCTCCATGGTGATGATGGTGACTTGACCCATGTCTTTAAGGTGATGACGTGACCCACATCTTCAAGGTGGCGACTTGACCCGCGTCTTCAAGGTGGCGACTTGACCCACGTCTTCAAAGTGGTGGTGGTGACTTGACCCACGTCTTCAAAGTGGTGGTGGGTGACTTGACCCGCGTCTTCAGGTGGTGGTGGTGACTTGACCCTGCGTCTTCAAAGTGGTGGTGGTGACTTGACCCACGTCTTCAAAGTGGTGGTGGTGACTTGACCTGCGTCTTCAAGGTGATGGTGGTGACTTGACCCGCGTCTTCAGGTGGTGGTGGTGACTTGACCCGCGTCTTCAAGGTGGTGGTGGTCGTGACTTGACCCGTGTCCTCATGGTGATGGTCGTGACTTGACCCGCGTCTTCAAGGTGCTGACTTGACCTGCGTCCTCATGGTGGTGACTCCCACATCTTCAAGGTGGTGGTGACTTGACCCGCGTCTTCAAGGTGATGACTTGACCCGCGTCTTCAAGGTGATGACTTGACCTGTGTCCTCATAGTGATGGTGGTGACTTGACCCGTGTCTTTGTGGTGGTGACATCTTAAATGAGCTTTACATGTTCCTGTGTATCCAACACTTTCCACCAAGACCACATCCTGGCAGCTAACCATTACCACCACAGAGACTGCATCCCACCACTTGACCATAGCACCATAAAGACCCCATCCCCCATTTGTGCAAAAAGATGGCAACTACTCCAATTTAGAACTAGGTGCACATGGAAGAGCAACGCACAATGCCAACATACAAAAATTTCCCAGCACTCTTACCAGCCAGTCTACCAACAAACCAAACTGACCCGGTCTAACAATTCATGTTATAACAGAGGGGTTTGGTGCACATACAGTTGTTTTCAAAATACTAGCCGTCAGACATCACTAACCGGATCAATCACTGTTTTTGGTGGAAATGATATTTCTACATGGCAAATAATTTCCTAGCAGGTGTAGTAGAGTCATAGAAATCCAACAGACCCGACAGTCATGACATGCATGCTGCTGATTCTGTGTCATTGAATCACTCATTGAAAGGGGCGTGTTCACAATAATAGCCGTGTGGAGTTCTATTAGTGAGTCATTCATTCTTTGATAAACAGGTGGCAATTATTGCCCTTATTTAAGGAAGGAAGGCAGCAAATGTTGGACATGCTGGTTACAGTGCATTTCTCTCTGAAATTCTGAGGAAAATGGGTCGTTCCAGACATTGTTCAGAAGAACAGCGTACCTTGATTAAAAAGTTGATTGGAGGGGAAAACATATAAAGAAGTGCAGAAAATGATCAGCTGCTCAGCTAAAATGATGGCAAATGCTTTAAAATGGCAACCAAACCTGAAAGACGCGGAAGAAAGCGAAAAACTACCATTGGAATGGATAGAAGAATAGCCAAAATGGGGCGGACTCAGCCAACAATCAGCTCCAGGAAGATGAAAGAAGGTGTGACGTTCCCTGTGAGGACTCAGCCAACAATCAGCTCCAGGAAGATGAAAGAAGGTGTGACGTTCCCTGTGAGGACTGTTACAATTAGAAGACGCCTATGTGAAGCCAAGCTATCTGCAAGAAGTCCCCGCAAAGTCCCACTGTTGGAAAAAAGACGTGTGCTGAAGAGGTTACAATCTGCCAAAGAGCACATTGACCGGCCTAAAGAGAAATGACGCAACATTTTGTAGACTGATGAAAGTAAGATTGTTCTTTTTGGGTCTAGTGGGCGGAGACAGTTTGTCAGACGACCCCCAAACACTGAATTCAAGCCACAGTACACTGTGAAGACCGTGAAGCATGGTGGTGCAAGCATCATGATATGGGGATGTTTCTCATACTACGGTGTTGGGCCTATTTATCGCATACCAGGGATCATGGATCAGTTTGAATCCATCAGAATACTTGAAGAGGTCATGCTGCCTTATGCTGAAGAGGAAATGTCCTTGAAATGGGCGTTCCAACAAGACAACGACCCCAAACACACCAGTAAACGTGCAACATCTTGGTTCCAGACCAACAAGATGGACATTATGGAGTGGCCAGCCCAATCCCCGGATTTTCATCCAATAGAAAACTTGTGGGGTGACACCAAAAATGCCGTTTCTGAGGCCAAACCAAGAAATCGAGAAGAACTGTGGAATGTGGTCCAATCATCCTGGGCTGGAATACCTGATCACAGGGGCCAGAAGTTGGGGGACTCCATGCAACACAGATGTACAGCAGTTCTCAGAAACAGTGCGACTACAACCAAATATTCATGAAGTCATTCAAAGGAAAGCAAAATCTTCAAACATTTCTCAGTTTATATAGTGAATGTTGGAGTTTGTAAAGAAGAATACAAACACGGCCATTTTTTTGAACCGTCTAATATTCACTTTTCTTCCATTTTTTTAGAGGAACAACACAAATTTGATGTATTTTTCTTCATGTTGTGATTTGGAATAGAATGTGTCGTGTTCCCAATGCATTTGTGTGGATGGAAAGAAAAGGATTAGAAGGATTTGCAGCTTTACTCACTTTTATCATCACACAGATATTATTTTGAACACAACTGTACATGTGGAAGCTGCAGTGCCCACGTCGAGGCTCCTCTCTATCCTGCGTTCCTAGAGTTTTGGGCATTGCAGCTTCCATTGCGGTTTTAATGTGCATTGTTAGACCGGGTCAGTTTTGGTTTGTTTGTAGGCTGGCTGGTAAGTGTGCTGGGGCATTTTTGTTTGCCATCCCACCTCCTGCTCATATCGGCATGGAATCCCACCTCCTGCTCACATCGGCATGGAGACTCCATCCCACCTCCTCACATCGGCATGGAATCCTCCCCATCCCACCTCCCTGCTCACATCGGCATGGAGACTCCATCCCACCTCCTCACATCGGCATGGAACCTCCCCATCCCACCTCCCTGCTCACATCGGCATTGAGACTCCATCCCACCTCCTGCTCATATCGGCATGGAATCCCACCTCCTGCTCACATCGGCATGGAGACTCCATCCCACCTCCTCACATCGGCATGGAATCCTCCCCATCCCACCTCCCTGCTCACATCGGCATGGAGACTCCATCCCACCTCCTCACATCGGCATGGAATCCTCCCCATCCCACCTCCTCCCTGCTCACATCGGCATTGAGACTCCATCCCACCTCCTGCTCATATCAGCATGGAGTCCCTCATCCCACCTCCTGCTTATCAGCATGGAGACCCCATCCCACTTCTTGCCCATATCGGCATGGAGACCCCCCATCCCGCCTCCCTGCCCATATCGGCATGGAGACCCCCATCCCATATTGGCATGGAGACCCCATCCCACCTGCTGCCCATATCGGCATGGAGACCCCTGCCCATATCGGCATGGAGACCCCATCCCACCTCCTGCCCATATCGGCATGGAGAGACCTCCTGCCCATATCGGCATGGAGACCCCATCCCACCTCCTGCCCATATCGGCATGGAGACCCCATCCCACCTCCTGCCCATATCGGCATGGAGACCCCATCCCACCTCCTGCCCATATCGGCATGGAGACCTCATCCCACCTCCTGCCCATATCGGCATGGAGACCTCATCCCACCTCCTGCCCATATCACCATGGAGCCTCATCCCACCTCCTGCCCATATCACCACCTCCCTCCATTCACATGAAGACTTCCCCACTCCCCCCCCATTCCAGTCCCACTCCCCCTTTCCACTCATCCCACCCTTAGTCTGGGCTCATTGGATGTCTATACAATATCTGGCCACTCACAGCAATATTGGTGTCTTCTTGGTCATGGAGTTTAGGTTCCCAGTGACAGCCAATGAGGATTCTTCCTCGCTGATGGAACTTCCAGCTGATTGGTTGCAGTACAGAACAAGCCGGGACATTTCTTTTGGTGATCGGAGTGCGTTGTATGACACTCCTTAGCCTGGACACCCGACATCATCTGCCCATTTGCTCCTCGTCTTCCTCCAGTGGTGGGAGGCCATGCCATTAAAATGACGTAAGACTCTTGTTGACACCCTGGGCTCACAGGAAGCAGGTAGAAGGATGCTGGATGTCCTTTAAACCAGAAGAGGATCGCAGAGTGGTGAGTCTGTGATGGACAACCCTGGAGATAAGGCAAATATTGCAAGAACTTGCTCAAGCACACAGCAAATGCAAAAATACTGACATTAGGCTTTTGCCACTAGAGGGAGCTCTGTATTCCACTGCAATCACTTGGCATCCCTGCTGGACAGCCGCTGAGGGAGAACATTGTTTCCATTGGGACACCAGAGCCTGGACTGTGTTGGGATGATGAGGAGCAGTTTAGTTCAAGTTGTATGCAGAAAGCAGAGCCTGCCTATGTAACGAAGAAGTATGGCCGACTCCATGATCCTCCTACACACAGTGATCAGATCATCGCTATGATTCCAAGGAATGGGACTTCCTGTCCTTAGGTCCAGCTATGGGCATGGATCTCACCATTCACCTGTACCAATGGGACTTCCTGTCCCTGGGTCCAGCTATGGGCATGGATCTCACCATTCACCCGTACCATGTGACTTCTCTGTCCCAAAGTCTAGCTATGGGCATGATCTCACCATTCACCTGTACCACGTGACTTCCTGTCCTAGGTCTAGCTATGGGCACAGATCTCACCATTCACCTGTACCATATGACTTCTCTTCCCCAAGTCCAGCTATGGGCACAGATCTCACCATTCACCCGTACCATGTGACTTCTCTTCCCCGAGTCCAGCTATGGGCATGGATCTCACCATTCACCCGTACCATGTGACTTCCTATCCTTGGGTCCAGCTATGGGCACAGATCTCACCATTCACCC